ACAATCTAAAATATAAACAATCAACGCCCCCCCCTCAGCGGGCCACGGTAAAATTATTAAACGTTGACCGGTCCGCGGCGATAAAAAGGTTGGGGAGCACTGATGTAGATCACTTCCCATTCATTCATAATTGAGTATATAGTAAACATACTCTGTTCTCCATTATTTACAAGCGATCACTGATCACTGACTGCTTGTACTCGCTCTCCTTCCTGGCACGCTGTCACAGGAGGCTGAGCGAGCGGTGCGGGGAGAGAGCTCAGCCTCCTGACCACACCGCTCTCTTCTGATCTGTGACATAGACGCCGGCCGCTCACCGCGCTCTTCTCCCACAGCGCTCGGCCGTCTGTGACACTTTCTCTCCTCCCTGCTGGGACAGGAGGAGACAAAAGACACAAAAGAGACAAAAGAATGGATGCACCGCTGTATCGGCCATTATGCTAAAAGTGCCATTTTTTGCCGATATGTTTCGGCTGCCGATATATCGGTGCATAAAACGGTGTTACCCATTTTGTTATCCGGGTTGTTGGTTGTTCTCAGTATTTCAGCAAAGCCATTGATCTTTTTGCGTGTTTTTTATTACAGTATATCTTGGAGTGACGAATCTGAGTGCGTACCAAGTGAGGATGAACAGCATCTGTTCCCAATGGCAACTGCAAAGACATGCAACCTCCTACAGGATCATCATCGAGTCACTGCAGGGTATGTGAGAACATGAATTTTCTCTGATTATATCATCTCCGTCCATGAGATACGCCAACTGAAAAACTCTGCTACTTCCTCAGACAGGATATGACATAAACAGTAAAACATTTTATTCTGAATACTTTGTAGAATTTAATAGGAACCTGTGGCTAGCCCATGGACAGTCAAGTATTGCTTTTTCTTAACAAGCAGTAAATTAGATTTACAATGAGCCCTCACTGGCCTCTGTAGCTGCAGCCACTGTGAAGAAATGAATCCTCAAAATTCACATCAGCAGCACTTAATTTCTTATTTAAGCTAGCTCAGCTCCTCCCTCCTAGCAGTGATTCATCAGTCTGCCAGCATTCTAATCTGTAAATGTACACACAGCAGAAAATCTGGGAAGGAGAACAGGATTTACTAAGATAAGGATTTACTGATGGGAGGAGGAAGCAGGATGATCTGAACTGCCCAGTCACTGCTGGAAGGGGGAGCAGAAAGAGCTGAGCCACTGAGTTATTGTTCATGGAGGAGCAGGGAAAGCTCATTCATTGCGGGTAAGGGGAGTTGAGTGTCAAAGTCCCTGGTGGGTGGAGGGAGCTGGGTGAACTGAGCTTCTAAGTCACTGCAGGAAGGGATGCGGGGGGGGGGCTGGGCTGCTAAGTCACTGCTGGGCGGAGGTAGCAGGTGGAGCTGAGCTGCTAAGTTTCTGCTGGGATGAGAAACAGAGTGAGCTGAGCTGCTAAGTTACTGCTAAGAAGGGGAAGCAGGGGGAGCTGAGCTGCTCGCTGAGTCACTCCTGGGTGAAGATAGCAGGTGGAGCTGCTAAGTCATTGCTAAGAAGGGGGAGCAAGTGGAGCTGAAATGCTAAGTCACTGCTGGGTGGAGATAGCAGGTGGAGCTGAGCTGCTGAGTCACAGCTGGCTGGAGGTAGCAGGTGGAGCTGAGCTGCTGAGTCACAGCTGGCTGGAGGTAGCAGGTGGAGCTGAGCTGCTGAGTCTCTGCTGTGATGAGTAGCAGAGTGAGCTGAGCTGCTGAGTCACTGCGGGGAAGGGGGAGCTGAGCTGCTGACTCACTGCTAGGTGGAGGTAGCAGGGTAACCTGAGCTGCTAAGTCTCTGCTGTGATGATTAGCAGAGTGAGCTGAGCTGCTATGTCACTGATGGGAGGAGGGAGAAGGTTGAGCTGGGCTGTTGAGTTATTGCTGGAAAGGAGGAGCAGGGAGGTCTGAGTTGCTAAGTCACTGCTAGGAGGGGAAGCTGAAGTTCTGAGTCATTGCTGGCAGGAGGAAGCAGGGTAAGCTGAGTTGTTGAGCCACGGCTGGAAGGGCGAAGCAGGATGGGCTTAGCTGCTTATTCACTGCTGGCAGGGGGAGCTGCTCCTGTGATTAAAAAAATCGGATTTCCCATCACCTTCTGTATTGGATACAATAGTCAGCAGAACCAACTGAGAGGGTAAACCTCTCCAACAGAGACGCAGAAGAATAAAGAAACCTAACGGGATTACCAATCCTTCCACATTCCACCCAAACAAACAAAAAAGAAGTGTTGGCCTTACATACACTCAGATCTCAATTCTGGTTATCATAAGAAGGGAATCAAATACTTCCAGGAGTTAAAACAATCACAAGAGTAAAGAAAAAAAAAAAGGTTCAAAGCGTCTCAAGTATTAAATCAAAGTCATTCTGTGGGGTCATGTTCCAACTGTTTATGGGAATAATGTAAAATAGAAGAAAAAAGTCATTTATGAAATCTGAAAATATTTGGGTTACTAAATGGGGCGTGACAGCCCTGGAGAATGAATCTTCTTCCTCTACAGACAAAATATTTTAGCTGCTGATGTGTCTGCAGTGACCGTTCCTTCCAAATCCTACAGATGTTCTCTGTGCTGTTTTATGAAAGATTTGCAGGATCCCGGCAGCTCTGACTTCTGTTCTCTGCACTCTATTAATACATAAACGTATAATACGCACATATAATAAACCCTGAAGAGGAGAATGAAAAAGGATACAAATAATAAAACACTGAAGATCACTGCAGATACCCCCAGTAATAAGACATCATTCAATTATACATGTCATTCCCTGGGAATCTCATTTTCTATTGAACATATTATTTTTCCTTAAAGTGACTCTAAACTCAGGAGTTCAACCTTCAAAATACATTCACGTCCCCAAACTATTAACAAAAATATATCTTATTTGTGTATCACTCGGCTGTTGATCCTCAAATCATCTCTGAAATTGAATTGGTGCTGACACTGTCCTTCCTTCTGGAGGGGGGTTACTTTTGTTCCCCATGCTCCCTGTGTGTGTTGTAAACTAGTCACCGCTCAAAGCTCACTCCTGTGATGGACTACAATCTCAATACAAATGAGTAAACTAAACATAGGATTGTAGTCCAATCCTGATGATGGGACTCTGTATGCTCTTGAAACATCACCTCTTCCTGTGATTTCATGATCAACCAACTTCAACGTTTTGATGATGAAGATTTTGGTGTGCTAGTGACTTACTCTCTACAGTGAACGCCTTGAGGAAGGGGCCCCCGAAACCTTGGCTTTATGACTAATATGATGCTATAATAATAAATAGCAGTACATTTGCACCTTCTAGAACTGATTGCTAGTGACTTTTCTTCTATTCTTCTGTGGAATCACATGGCGGCATCCATGGTTGTCTTACCTGCTATTAGTTCTTCTCTACCAGGTTACGGGCACATATAACAGAATATAAGTATGTGTCGTGCCTTACACCAACCCAGTTGACTGTTTTCTGGGTAGAATTGCCTTTTAAGAGTTTAATCTTGTGGATTTGTGTATGTTCTCTTTGCTATATCTCCTCATTATCATAATATGCTGTTGGCTTAGTTGTCTGGCATGAATACTCTTTGGAATCCTGTTTTGACTTTGATGCTTGGTGTATCTCCCATTTTTGACACTGGATAGCCTTTGCATTATGAGTCTGGTTAGCGCTCTACCATTCAGTTGTCATACTTCCATGTTAATCTCCTAGGAGGCATCTGGGCGCTAGTCAAACCATCACATTATATGGGAAAGTTAGCTGTTATGGGTGAAGATCTGAAAAGATGCCTAAATCCACAGGCATCCTGATTTACATGTTTAGGGAACCTGCAGACCACAAGCAGTACTAAAATTCTTCATTGCTAGCAGTTTGGAGAGGAAAATAGGACAAAGTCCAATGTTATCATCTGGAGGTTATCTATAGTCTCAGTATGTAATTCTTCCAAGCTATGCTGGCTTTAACCAAGTTAAGTTTCCTTATAATCTGGTGTTCATTTGTTACTTGTCCCGGACCAAGAATATTTCAATGGGTTCTCTTTCATTTTAGTGCTCATTTATATATGGATGCTTTTTCACAGCACTTTAGAGAGAACATTGAACCATCTACAATAATCCTTGAGCACTTTCATTGGTGTGCCCCCCATGATACCAATTTTCTATAGGAACTTTGAAGCAAAGCTACTGTATATGTTCTTAAATTTTAAATTAACTGAATTCACATTTTATTATGTCATGACCATTAAAGGCTAAGTTTACCTTTCTGACCATATCTGTAAAAAAATAAGTCAAGGCAACTGGACTTGCTGTATTTTACTTGAAGACATTTCACTGGTCATCCAACAAGCTTTCTCAATTCAGAATGACATGCACAAAAAATTATTTGGGAATAAATGTGGTGAATTTCGCTCCAATCCACATAATCTGTAAGTCACAACCAGGTGTTGAATGCATTTGCAAACCGGAGTCTAGGAGGTGTTATTAACTTGCCCAGAGAGAGGTGTTAAAACAGCATTCTCTGTGGCACACAATAGATGTCTCACCCCTCCTCCCTCCCCCCCACACACACACCTACCTCTATTTAAGCTTGGCTTCTCCATTTTTACATAAATGGCCTCTTTCACACCTCTTTTAAACCAGTCCTCCTCGCTGTCTAGGATGCGTACTTGACTGTCTCCAAAGGAGTGACCCTTCTCCTTTAGGTGTAGGTATACTGCCGAATCCCGACCAGAGGGTTTGGCTCTTCTATGCTGTGGCATACGCTGGTGTAGTTTCGCCGACATACAATTCTGAGCACTCCTCACTGCACTGAACTGCATACACAATGTTGTTCATCTTGTGTTTTGGCGTTGGGTCTTTTGGGGGAACCATTTGTTATCTAGTTGTCGTCTTCAAAAAAAATACAGCAAGTCCAGTTGCCTTGACTTATTTTTTACAGATATTCCATGACCTGGATGAATGAGAACCTTCACAGACACTTTCTGACCATATTACATGGCATTGACACAGACGGGAGACAGAGGAGCCAGAGCCATGCACCAGCCATCCACTGATAGCAGTTGCAATGCTTTACTGGCTTCTATGTAAAAAAATAACAAATGCAAATGTTTTTCTTTTATGAATATGTGGCATTTATTTTTATTTTTTTTAATGTGTGGCATTTCCCTTTAAATATAGCTTGCAGGGGTCCATTCCTATCATGAGGCAAGTGAGAATCTCATTGGAAACTGTATTCCATTAAGGCAATGTTATGCAAATAACTAAAACCACCTTCCACCCATAGGGTTTAACAATGAGGAGGTCATCTGATTAGTAGCCTTCTGCATTCCCAAGTTTTGGCAAAATTGTTATATAGAGAGATTGAAGTCCCTTATAAAGCTAAACTTCAGGCAGATATAAAGGAAACAAATCAATGCAGCTCTGTATTTGTCAATACACCATTATATATAGGTAGTTTATGTATCTGAATATGACGAGAGAGAGAGAGAGAGAGAGAGAGAGAGAGAAAGAGAGAACATTTGTCTGTTGCTGTTCAATCACAGACTTAGGTAGGGACAAGACCTAGCTGTATTACTTCACTGCAGCATTATTAAATCAGGCTGGACAGGGTTGTACTGAGTGGCAGAGCTGTGTAAACTCAGTTTTGGATGGTCAGAAGTACAAATGATTTTGGCAGGTCAAACATCTGTCCTATGTTTAATCATTCTGGGTATATAACTGTTTGTCTGGAGTTCAGCTTTATTGTTCCATTGCAGATGGCTCCAAGCAAGAAGCCAACCTGGCTGGAGGAACGTCTCGTCACTGTTTCTATGAACTCCTGCCTAACTCTAGATACAGGATCACCGTCTATGCACAGATGGGGGAGGCCGAGGGACCCGGCGTCAGCATTGTAGAAACAACACGTGAGTTGATGCATCTAATCACACAGGATGAAAAACATTGTCTGGAATTTGTGTTTAAAGAGTAAATAAGTTAATTCTGGATTTTTTTCTTTCCAGTGCCGGCTGCAACTGCAGCACCAACCAAACCTCCAACTCCACCACCAACCATTCCTGTGGCACGAGAAGGTAACAAGCACCTCAATGAGCAGCATTTGTATTGTGGTCAACTAGCAATCAGAAGCGTGAATATGGCAGATTGGTTATAGATGAACTTTCACCAAACTCCCAGTGCGGTCCATTTTGTGACATTTCATCGGGTGTATTTAGAGAAGTTTAGTTTTTGCAATTAGTGTTCTTTGTGTTTTTTTCTGTTTCCATATTTTCGTGTATTAGATCGTTATTTGTGTACTGATTTCTTTTCTTCTTTTTTTACTGTTTGTTTTTTCTTTTTCTAAAAAAAAAGGCTAATGATGGTGTTTTTGGGCACAAGAACAAGTCTGGGATAGCTGGAAGGATTTTCCATAACCTTAAAGTCAATCACACCCTTAAAAAAAACACTCATCTTCCTCTACGACTCCAATGTATTTTTACCAAATAAAGGCAAAATTTGGCCAAAATCTTCAATTTTTTAAACAAAATTTTTGGAAAATTGAAACTCTGTCGCTACTTCCTATAGTCAAGTTAAGGCTAATGTTAAATGTTGGTATATCTGGATGGGACTAAAGAAGAATTATTGGGAGAGTAAAATATACTCCTCCCGATAGTTTGGGGGTGATTTACTAACCTAAACACACGCACGCACTAGGTGCGTGTGATTTTTACACAGCAAAACGTATTTATCAACCAAAAAGTCTCTAAAAGCATATTTCCACTAATGCCATATATGGAAAAATCATGCACATGATGCATATATAATGCTGCTTCACAGTTTAGACAAAAATGGTTAGCTCATGCATTTACATTCCTGCATTCATCAACGCAAGCAACACAACGTCGAGCTAATTTACACAACATCACCTTGTAATTCATGCAGGGCTTTGCACAACACACCTGCTGGGTGTGTACACACTACAAAGGTGTCTAGATTCCACCAATAGATCATGCTGGGAGGGAACACACTACAAAGGTGTATACATGTTCATGGTGTGTTTATAAGGTTAGTAAATCAACCCCTTTGAGTCAGCGTGCGACACTGTAGCTGTCACATGTCAGCTCTATAGCTCGAGAACTAAGCGATCACAAACCAAATTTTTTCCCCCATTGGAGCAAATTGGACCATGCTTTATAGGGGTTTTTTTTGCCTTCCTCCGGATGAACAGTGGTTAAATGTGGGCATAGCGTTCTGTTTAGGCTTTTCTTCTTTCTTTTTTTTCTTCACATCTTTATAGGTTGAACTTGATGGACTTGTGTCTTTTTTCAACCTGACAAACTATGTAACTATGTAATTGATCTCAGCTCACTGTCTTCATCTTGCAGAGAGCAGTGACTGTCAGTCACTGCTCCCCGCAGCGATTCACCCCTCCCCTCTCTGCTCTGTTGAATATTTTATCTAAAACATATTACCGGTTTTGTCAGGGTTCCTGTTTGAGGCTTGTATAAAGAAAGTAAAACAAATACGCTGAAGTGCTACAAAAATGTATTTTTGGTTAAAATGCACAAACAGCCGAAAGTGACAATCAGGACTGCTAACATGTTTCGTTTAAATAGCCCTAATCAAACCTAATAGCTATGAGTAAGGCTCTGAAACCGAAATGCGTTAACAGCCCTGGTGATGTCAAATTTTAACAATATACAGAAATTATTCACTTTTTTCGGACTCCAGTGCATTTGTTTTACTGTTTGGAGGTATACAGGAGCCTAGCTGTAGAGTCGACACTCTGTAGACTGTATTGACAGGGAGAAGTAGAGTTCTTTTTGTGCTTTTTATGCAGCCTTTGCATCATGTGTAGGGAGGGGGTCAGAGAATGTATGTACTATGCTCTCTCTTGATGTCAGAACTTATAAGTGCAGTTAGCTTAATAAATCAGCTCACATCATCTGTCAGTCACCAGTATGGATTCAGCTTCTCTCTGTTTTCCACATTCCAGTGTGTAAGTCCGCAAGAGCAGACCTTGTATTCCTGGTGGATGGATCCTGGAGTATCGGAGACGACAACTTCCACAAAGTTATCAACTTCCTTTACAGCACAGCCGGAGCCATGGATGAGATTGGCCCTGAGGCAACACAGGTAAGGCCTGTCCAAAATTAAAGGGAACCTGTCAGCCATGTTAAAGCTGAATTTCAGGTATAAATATGTATATAAACTTACATTGCTGCAGCTTGGCCCAATGCAAGTATACATATTTTATACCTGGTAGGGCTACAGGGTTCATGATCCTGTAAGATACTGTAGTAGCTGGTGTTGCTACAACACTTTACAGGTATCTTCTGCATATTGTAGGGTCATGATGTCACTGCCCCTTGTCCAATTAAGGAATGCCTAGTACCATTTGGTAAAAATACTAGGCGTTCAATGAATGGCCGCTGTGCTGAGCGAGCAACCCCCTGTGCTTTCAGAGCAGAGCGGAAGTAGCTCAGCAAAGCGGCTGTGCAGGACCCATTACATTGCTGTAAAGCACTGTAGCAGCTCTGGATACTGCAGTGTTTTACAGGATCTTCCATGGCCCTACCAGGGATAATTTGCATATACTTACATTTGGCCAAGGTGGACCAGTGTACGTATCTGTAAATATTGCTACCTGAAGTTCAGCTTTAAAGTGTATCTGAAGCCTGCACAGGAACCTGGCATACCATCCACTTATCTCATATGTGCTCAAGTGTGTAGCTTTATTACACAGCCAAGAGGGTGGTGTAGTTAAAGTGAGCCTGTTTTCTTAGTTAAGTGTATGCATGCTAAGTTATGTGTATGTGTAACATTTCCCAGTATTTCCCCCACAAATTCTGTGCAAATTCTTACAGTATGTATTCTTTATAAAGCAGCCACATCTTAAGTAGAAATGCCAGCATGCTGTAAAGAAGGACCTTGCTCTCTGTACAGAAGCAGCAACCTCTCTGCAGAGGTCTGGGACACAGCCTGCTGAGTGGGAGCTAGAGATTTCCATTAAGCAAGGTGCATGATCATTGAGTCCACTACTTCTACACAGAGATCAAGGGTCCTTATCTGCACCATGCTGGCAGGGGACAGGCTTTTCTACCATGCTGGCAGGGGACAGGCTTTTCTACTCAGGCTGTGGCTGCTTTTTATAGAATGCACCTGAAATGTATTTAGCGTATTGAAACTAAACATTCAATTAGGTTTTCCTGTTTTCTTTGTTAATTGAAGTATTTTTGCTAACACTCTTATATTTTAGGTTCAGTCTCAACTACAGAACTACAGAACAATTGTCTAAATTACAGAACAATTGGGGAGCGACATGTTCCTCCCTCTGCTAAGCTGCACACCAGTATATTGTGAATGAAGTCAATGTCTTACCTCTTGTCATTCAGGTCGGAGTCGCTCAGTACAGTGATGACGCGAGGACAGAATTTAAGCTAAGCTCACATAAAAGCAAGGCTTCTCTTTTGGCTGCTATAAATGCAATATCGTACAAAGGCGGGAACACAAAGACAGGTATGTGGGGTCCGGTGTAACTCCCAACATCCTCCCTTCAGTCCTCTCTGCCCTCGATAAGTAAATCTTGGGAGGTCCAATAAATGTATCCCGGCACTTCATAAAATAGATTCCTGTTTGTTTTATTTTCCCATCCTGAGTGCTGTGTACTTTGGCTCCTGCTTCATTGTTGTCACAGATTCACTGTGAAATTTAACATCAAATTAACAACGTTCTGTGGATTTTGTATCAACATTTGCCGAGCTGTTTATTTAAACTGATGACTGGAATCTGCTTGCCAGAAATGTAACAAGAACCTAAAGGTCCATTGTGAGCAAGTATACATTAAGGTCTATGTAAACAGACTTCCCGTATTTGCTCCCTGTTGGTCTTTGAAGTTAAAAAATACTTGTTGAACCTGCCAGAAATCTGGTGAGCTGATAACTTTCTGTGTTCCCTGCATCTGCTGCACTGAAATCTCAAGCAGTGTTATCAGCACTGTGAACTACAGAACATAACCCATGTAATGGAGCTAAGGATAAGGGAAAATGTTCTGTAGTCACTTTCTGTTCCATAGAGAGAGTTGCCACCTTGTCTCATACATACAGGACAAGAAGATGCGGCCGAGGATTCCTGCGACAAGAACCTGCTGATTATTGCTGCAGGAATTCCAAATCTGTCTATCCACATGTGATTGAACATACAACCCCAATTCCAAAAAATTTGGGATACTGTGTAAAATCTACACAAAAACAGAATGTAATGATTTGCAAATTTCTTAAACCCAGATTTTATTCTCATTAGAAAATAGAAAGAATATCAAATGTTCAAACTGATAAAATGGACCATGTTAAGAAAAAGAAGAAGGTCATTTTGAAGTTGATGGCAGCAACATGTCTCAATAAAGTTGGGACAGGGCAACAAAAAGCTGGCAAAGTAAGCAGTGGCGTCACAAGGGGGGTGCGGCCCGCACCCGGGTGACACAATGCAGGGGTGACACCAAAATGACTGACAGTCATTTTGGTGTCACCCCCTCTAAAAAGTCGGGCACTCGGTCATAGACTGAGAGCCCGACAGTGTCAGGAGAGAGTGAACATCCCCTCCTCTCTCTACCAGCGTCCATCACCAAGATGGCCACGCCTGCGCGATGACGACTCGGTGGGGTGTCACTCGGACTGGAGACCCGGTGACAACCGGCCTTGGTGCGCCCCTGAAAGTAAGTGGTAATAACAAGGAAGAGCTGGAAGAATATTTTATTCATTAGGTTAATTGGCAACAGGCCAGTAACATGACTGGATATAAAAAGAGCATCTTAAAGAGTCAGAGTGTCTCAGAAGTAAAGATGGGCTGATGTTCACCAATATGCGGAAAGCTGCATCTAAAAATTGTCCAACAATTTCAGAATAATGTTCCTCAACGTAAAATTGCAAAGACTTTACATATATCATCATCTACAGTACATCATATCATCAAAAGATTCTGAGAATCTGGAGATATCTGTGCGTAAGGGACAAGGCTGAAACACAATATTGGATGTCCGTGATCTTTGGGCCCTCAGACGGCACTGCATTAAAAACAAGCATTAATCTGTGATGGACATCACGGCATGGGCTCAGGAATACTTCCAAAAATCACTGTCTGTAAACACAGTTCACCATGCCATGAATGCCACAAATACAAGTTAAAGTTCTGATAGGTTTTGTTTTGGGATGTTTGACCTTGTTATAGTATTATAATGCAGGACCGTGTTTCAGAAATAAGATAATTTCTTCTTTCTTGTATTACTCAGGCAGAGCAATCAAGCACGTCAGAGAAGATTTGTTTACTGTGGAATCTGGCATGAGGAAAGGTGTGCCGAGGGTTTTGGTGGTGATTACCGATGGGCGCTCCCAAGATGAAACTGTTAAGTTTGCCAGTGAGATGCATTTGGAAGGTATGGTCATTAGAAATGTCTTGCCTTCTACCTCTCTATATTGTCCTTTATAAGTATGTTGTCCTTTTCGAAACTGAAGTAGTGCCTGCAATTCGGAGATGGTATCTTTCAGTGCAGGAAGGTTGGACTTGGACACAAAGGATCCCGGCACAAGAGAGGTAAGTATGCAAAGGGTTACAAGGTGGGTTGGTGTTACAGGGTGGGTTAGTGTTAGGATTACAAGGAGGGACATATGGTGGGTTAGTGTTACAGGGAGTGTTAGTTTTAGGGTTACAGGGGGGGTTAGTGTTAGGATTACAAGTAATCCTTAGGGATACATGGTGGGCTAGTGTTAGTGTTACATGGTGGGTTAGTGTTAGGGTTACATGGTGGGTTAGTGTTAGGGTTACAGGGAGTGTACATGGTGGGTTAGTGTTAGGGTTACAGGGTGGGTTAGTGTTAGGGTTACAGGGAGCGTTAGTCTTAGGGTTACAGGGTGGGTTAGTGCTAGTATTATAGGGTGGGTGGGTGTTAGGGTTACAGGAAGGGTTAGTCTCAGGGTTATAAGGTAGATTAGTGTAATGGTTACAGGGAAGGTTAATCTTAGGGTTACAGGGTGGGTTAGTCCTAGGGTTACAGGGTAGGTTATTCTTAGGATTACAAGAAGGGCATAAATGGTGGGGTAGTGTTAGGGTTACAGGGTGGGTTAGTGTTAGGGTTACAGGGAGTGTTAGTCTTAGGGTTACAGGGTGGGTTAGTGCTAGTATTATAGGGTGGGTGGGTGTTAGGGTTACAGAAAGGGGATAAATGGTGGGGTAGTGTTAGGGTTACAGGGTGGGTTAGTGTTAGGGTTATAGAGAGTGTTAGTCTTAGGGTTACAGGGTAGGTTAGTGTTAGGGTTACAGAGAGGGTTAGTGTTACAAGGTAGGTTAGTCTTAGGGTTACAGGGTAGGTTATTGTTATTGTAAATACCAGTCCATATCTCCTGAAGTATGCATTTATGTATGTATGTATCATACTCTATCTATCTATCTATCTATCTATCTATCTATCTATCTATCTATCTATCTATCTATCTATCTATCTGTCTGTCTGTCTGTCTGTCTGTCTGTCTGTCTCCCTCCTTCCCTGTCTTTTGTCACTCTGTCGTCTCATTTGCTCTGGTTTTACATATTGGTCACAAGTGATTGTCTTTGTATCTCCATGTTACATATCTCATAGTTGTCTTTTGTTCCTCAAAGCAGCACTCATATCAGCCTCGGCAGACAACACATTATTCTTGTATTACAGAGTTAAAGCTTAGGATAAGGATTACATAGACTCCCATTGAAACCGTTGATGAATGCCTTATTATGAAGTGCTGAAATCAGACATGAGGACCTCCAAAGAGATTATTTTTTTCCGTTTCCAAAGCGAGAAGAGTTTTAATAAAATTCAGACAATGCTGGCAGATTATGATTGATAGCCCTGCAGAGATCTGAAAACGTTATGTTAAACGACTTAGCGGTAAATGGCAGCTCTATACCAGCTGTGAAAGCTTGCTATAATGATGTACTTGTGAGAACAATAACACTTGTTAAATGGGAACAGCGAGAAGCTCTGTGATGTGGTGATGGTTTGTGTTACCCAAAACACCAGAATCCCCAAACCTCCCATTATTAGTGTATGCGGTACAGCTGGATGAACAGGGCTCATATGTAGAGTTCACCCTGCACTACCTACACACATAAGAGAATGTGTCCCATGATCCCTACCACCCAGCCAATCAATTGGACAGAATGGAAATTCCGGGACAATTATTATTGTAGAGCTCACCTTGCACGCAAGAGAAGGTTCCCCCCGATCCCTACCACTCATACAATCATTTGGTCAGAATGGAATTTCTAGGATAATTACTATTGTTTCCTCCCCAAGACTTCCAATGACTGAATAGCCTTCCCTTGTCCTCTCCTTGGGCACAAACAGGCATTTTTTTCTCATTGCAAAAGTCTGTGCAATAATTGTTCATAAGGGTGATCATTAAGTGGCCAGATCATGCATGCATGGACAGCCGTCATCTGAAAGACAAACGGGAGCAAAGGGAAGGGAAGTATTTGCTGCTGGGGCATTAAAATAAACCTACCATTTTGTCCTGCATGCGTAAAGTACAACTTATATTGTTAGTTTTGGATATAGTGGAGAGGAATTAGAACACCTGCAAGGTTTTTATTTGCTGTCTGTGCCCCCGATTCACCCTCTCTATTTGTCCTGGTGACCGTTATCACTGAAAGTGAAAGAAAAACCCAAATTTTAGGTTGCCACCAGAACAGGAATAAATGGGAAATCTTACAATGGGGCACTGGTTCTGGTGACCCTGCTGACTACCAGGGCATTACCACTACCTTAAGGGATTTTTTTCCCACTTCCTGTTATGGCTATTGGACAGGAAGTGAAGGGATGTCTCCCCAAAGGGACACAGATTGTAAAAAAAAAAAGCTGACATTGGTTATAACTCTCCCTTACTCTATCCAAAGCTAAAAAAAAAGTTTTGCCTTCACTTCTATGTTAAGGAGCAATTAGGTGATTGTGCTAAGGAGGGCTAAGAAATGAAGAATTTATATAGGCAGGATGTTCTATAAAGGCACTTTAGATCTGTCTCTTAAGTGAGAGTCAGGCCAACTGTTTCTATAAAAAGGACATCTTAAAGAAGACTTTTCTGGAAAACCAAGTGTGTGAGAAGATGTCACAGCTTGCACTAAATCAATTGATGGATAACATATTTTAAAAGGGATACGTCCTTTGGAGTGTAAACAGAGAGCATCATTCTTTGCAGTAAGTGTTCAGTTCATGATAAAATAAACAATCTTTTTCATCCCTGCCGCACCTACAACACACAGCAGGAGTTGGGACAATGCTTTTAGAAGACTTCAATCTCACTAGAGATAAAAGACCGATAACTTACCCAATGTTTGTCCTCCCTCCTCCCAGGCTTCAGCATTTTTGCCATTGGCGTGGCGGATGCAGACTACAATGAATTAGTGAACATTGCCAGCAAGCCCAGCGAGAGACACGTCTTCTTCGTCGATGACTTTGATGGGTTCAAGAAAATAGAAGATGAGCTGGTCACTTTCATTTGCGAGACAGCGTCAGCAAGTTGGTGCCAATTTCTACCTTTTGTTTGATATCCAGAATGAATCCGTAATCATATGTGAATACATTTGTAGCTTAACTCCATCTGTTATAGAATGTTTGACAGATTTCATACTGTTAAGGTTGGGGGGAGAATGAAACTTCTGAAAAAGGTGAATAGTATTGAATGATAGGTTTGTTGTAAAGTAAAGTTTTCTTTAGTTTGGGATGGGGGTGGGGGATTAGAACCCCCATCATGTTTTTACTGTTATTCAGGGAACCATCTAAAGCAGCATTTCTCAACCAGGATGCCTTCTGGCTGCAACAACCTGGGTTGTCTTCTGGCTTACTCAGGAGTGCATCAAAATGTTCTCACAGCATCATACATTTCCATGGCACAGGCAAGCAAGCTGCTAGCACCGTGAAAATGAATGACTCTAATCCAGTAGACAGCAATGAGGATCACCAACATGACTGCTGGTGATCCTCATTGCTGTCTATTCGATATACGCACAGAGCCATCCGTGGACATCACTACAAGCACCACCATTACTTTTGGTCCCTATTGCTGTATGGTGCACAGGGGATATCTTCGTTTATTGACTCCAGGGCGGGTGGGATAATTTTAGAAAAGGATGGAAGTTCACCTCCACCCAGGCCTGCTCCGCCTCCCGCCCTTTGCCTTAAAGCCGCAGATGCAGCTCCTAATGTGACGGTAGGATTCTGATGTGAAGGTGGGGCTGAGGACTCAAAATTCATATCCGACCCCTGTCTCGGATAAAGGTCTGGTATGTATTTTGGAAGGGCCACACAACTTTTTGTACATTTACGTTTATATATTAGACTGGGGTGCCTGAAGGGTTTGCAGACTATTAAAGGATGCAGTGACAGAAAAAAGGTTGAGTAGGTTTTACCTCACTTACTGTACTACTAAGAATGGTTTTACCAGACAGAACGTTAGGGAAAATCTGCAACAAGGACACAGACAGACATAAAAATCTGAGAAGTAGAAGAAAGGCGTGGGTACCTGAATCTCTTAAAGTAGTAGGTGTTCTCAGCCAAGAACTAAAATCTGCAGTTACCTCTGCTGCAGTGGTACAATATCCATGAGCTCCCTTGTCTATGCCCGGCTTCAGCCATGGTGATTGGCCAGTGGGGGAATGACTTAACTTCCGTCAATCTGCACTCATTCCAGCATCAAGCTATGCCGAGTATGAACACTACGCTGCACGTGCCGGGTCTTCAGCCATCTCAATTGGCCAGTACCTATGCTTCTTGGCTCCATCTAGTAGCAGGAGCGCCATGCGAATGGCATTGCTCAGCACATGGCTGGGTGGAAATTTTGTAAATCAGCATCTTTAACTTATTTAAAGTGGACGTATTTTGACACAAGGGTTTGACTGAAGATAACTTAGACATATGTATGTTTTTATCAGTTGGAATTGCACAGGTTTATTCTACTTTGATAACCCCTGTGCCTATAAAACATATCAGAGAGGTCCAAGGTTGGCAGTAGTGATACCATAGAATTATTTTGGCTCCACCATTCTGTAATAAAACCTGGTCATGTGCAAATATTTGGTGTGTTTACATTCCATAGCTGCTCATTACTCCCAGTGCTGTCCTTCATGCTATGTACAATTCTTTGACATTTCCTAGAATTTCGTATGATATTATTGTATGAATACATAAGATTTGTGATTCTTAAACTGCTTTCTCTTTCAGCTTGCCCTTGGGCCTACATCCAAGGGAACAGCGTGTCAGGTAAATTATGTACACCTGCATCCATAATGTTTCAAGTATTGTTGGCTTCTGACTGTTATCTCTTCATCCCATATTGTGCAGTAAACCACAACAACCAATCACAAGTCAACATTCAGGGTTACTGTGTTTTGTCTTTTCCTTTTGCATTCCAAATTATCTAGGGAAGACTGTTTGTATCATCGCTATGAGCATGTATTTGACCTTCGTTTGTACTCTTTAGATGCTTTATACGTCATTGGTAAGATGAAATCTATTGTGCTCTTTGACAAACATAAAATGATTTATCTTGCTAATCTATTAGGTAGTAATTTACTATTACACACTTACTAAAATATAAATATCTTTTAAACACCCGAAAAACTGAACAGTTACTTAAAGACAAAAATGTCTATTTATAAAGCATTTGCATAACTTATTCTTCCAGCAAAACTCCATGTCCATTAGTTCTGTGCGAGTTAACAAGCTGTTTGAGAAGGGGACAACAGCTTCTCAAATAGGAATATTCATAAAAAGTGTGAATGGTCATATTACAATGGCACCTGGAAGTGGGGGGAGATATATTAGGTAGCAAGTGAACATTTTGCCCCCGTGTTGGAAGCAGAAAAAAAATGTGCAAGCGAAAGGATTTGAGGGACTTTGCCAATGGCCAAATTGTGATAGCTAGACGACTGGGTCAGAGCAACTCCAAAACTGCTGCTCTTGTGGGATGTCCCCAGTCCTGGAAGTGTTCCAAGAGAGGAAAACCAGAAAATAGTCAACAGGTCATGGGGGCCCAAAGCTCATTGGTGCATGTGGGGAGCGAAGGTTGGCCCGTGTAGTCTGATCCACTAAAAGAGGTACTGTTGCTCAAATGGCTTGGTGCCAGATACCACAGCATACCTTCAGAGGTCTAGTGGAGTCCATGCATCAATGGGTCAGGGCTGTTTTGGCTGCAAAAGGGGGACCTACTTAATATTAGGCGTGTGATCATAATGTTATGGCTGTTGGGTGTATATGCTCATTCCCTCCAGTGGTCTCTTGAATTGTAACATTGTGTCTACTTGGTTACCTATCTATGTATTTCATTACCTTGCACAGAATGAACTTTTGTACAGTTTCACTGGAAGAATAAGCTAAGTGAATTTTTTATAAATTGACCCCAAAGTAATAATAGATGATACAGTCCGGCACTTGTGACTCAGTGGTAAGTGAAAGACTCGGGTAGAGGAAGTAGACACTGTACTATATTTTTCCAGTAATTAAGATTTTAGGAAATGCCATTTAAATGTTCTGCTTGGTTACAATGGCAGCAGTAATATGTTTGGATGTGGAATAGGTTGAACGTTCATCTGAAAAACACTCTTGTAAACTAATCATATTAAGCTGCCATGGCAGTATGCCTATACCAAGAGATGTGGATAAGCTGCACAAGTTGCTGGGTTTAGTTGATATGAAGATGAGGTGTAATGTAGCTTTCCATGCAGAAAAAAAACAAATAACTACAAATTTATAATAGCGCCCATCTTGCCTACACTCTTGTAGCTTATTGGTTACTCCATATGTATTTTGTTGCTTTATAAATGCGTTCTTTGGTTAGCAAGAAAAGTGAAACTTGGATTACTCCCACACCGCCTGCACTTTTCTAGGGTAATATCAGATTTTTCTCTGAAATGCCATCTACAGGCCAGGCCTGGCATTGAAGCCTATTTTCTGTTACGGAGTGTCTCCTAAAGCTGGAACCATTAGCCATTAGTATAATACAAGGATTAAATCCCAGACAAACCTGTTTTTTTTTTTAATTTTGGATAGAATGGAAAATGTTTGAGATTTCTGTTAGTCAGCTGTCACCTGGAGAGCCAGGGCTGCCCCTACCTTATTTGCAAGGCCAAAAGGGGAGCTGGGGTGAGCTACTACCTCAGGCTTGCTCATTATGGGATGTCCCTGTGGACAGGAAATAAGGTGAAATATCCCTGGGTCTATGGAGACATGGACAGCAATTAAATAATTTTTTATGAGCCTGTAAACCCCATGCTGTCTTATATCTATGGCTGGATCTGCTCAACCATAAATATGACAATACATGCTTCTGCAAAAGCCCACTTGAGATGACGTAGGTTCCTAGGTCACTCCTATATGTCCCAAATTACTGAGATGGAAAAGAGGGACACCTATTAGAGCAAAGTATGAAGGCAAAGTACATAGCCCTGCCATGCTCCCAGTTACAAAGACTGTGAAACAATTAATCTGTACGAAAAGATCGGGTAGACTGACAATTCCTTTTTTTCCACCACTAATTGTCCTTCATACTGGCTGCTCATAACAACAAATGTAAGAATTTAGGGGATAGAAGGTTTAGTATAATAGTTAAACATACTACATGGGTCTACATCTGTCTATTAAAGTCCATACCTCTAGACTAAAAAGAGGGACAACTAATAAGGAAAGAGGGACATTTAGTGTGAAAAGAGGGGCAGTTGCTCAAACTGAGGGACAGTTGGTAGCTATGGTCATATCAGAACTGACAAGGAAGCCTTTAGCCATTGATTACAGGAAAAGGATGTCGCCTGAAAATGATGCATGTAGCCAGATGGAATCAACAGGGAGGGGCACGTGGTTGGGGTTTGGCCTGGGGAATGAAGTATCTAAGGAGTTACTTGGCAAACAATGTACTAATAATCAGCTCAGCCTGTATGTCTGCACGGCCCCAAGCGTGCTCAAGTAATGGACTACAATCTCAAATCAAATAAGTAAACTAAATGTGAGATTGTAGTCTATCACGGGAGCGAGCTTGGAGCGGTGGGTACTTTACAATACACACAGGGACCATGGGGAACAAAAGTAGCCCCCCTCCAGAAGGAAGGACAGCGTTAGCACCAATTTAGAGATGATTTGAGGATCTACAGCCGAGTGATACACAAATAAGATACATTTTTGTTAATAGTTAAGGTACTTGAATGCATTTTTTAGATTTAACTCCTGAGTTTAGTCACTTTAAGGATAGCTATAATGTGGAAAATAAGAATATTAATTTCTATGACTTGCTTATAGGTTTTAAAATGATGGACATGTTTGGGTTGGTGCAGAAGGAATACTCCTCCTTGGATGGGGTCTCCATGGAGCCTGGAACTTTTAATAACTTCCCATGCTACAGGATACACAAAGATGCTCTGGTGTCTCAGCCCACGAAGTAAGTGTAAATCTAATTAATTTTTACTTAACAACAGACAGCCATGAGATTTACTTAGTAATATCAGGATTGTCTACACCTCTAAGATTATAAACGTGTGAACCTAACAACTCATTATCTGTTGAACCATAGTAGAAGAAACAGTTAGTGGTTTACATGAAACCTATACTGCAAAAATGTCTACTTAAAAAAAAAAAAGAAGTTTGAGGAAAATTCTATATATCAAAAATGTATACAAATGTACACTATATGGCCCAAGGTTTGTGGACTGCTGATTATCACACCTATATGAGCTGGTTGGACATGAGCCGTCAGCCTTTTAATCAAGCAGCAGGCTCTCAGAGTGAAAGAGAGAGAGAGAGAGAGAGAGAGAGTCATGAGCATCAGTCAGCTCACATATACTGTATAAAGGCCTGTGGACAGCTGAGATGAATAATGAGGCCTGGCTACCATGTAAAATGTGGACCTATGATGGAGGTTGGTCACATTAACCTAACCTAACTGCTCCCTCCCCCCGCACTTTGCTGAATTGCGTAGTTCTTCTCGCCACAACATCCTGCATTTCTTGAATTCAGTATGGCTGTGCATGACTTAGCCTGCACTGCTGCATCATCCATTCACTGATCCATTCACATGGGAAGGACATCACTACACTTGTAGTCCATTGATTACTTCCTTTAGCCGGGGGCGTCCCCAGGCTTGGTGTCCCCACTGGGACGTCATCACGCATGCACGGGACGTCATCACCCCTGGCAAAAGGAAGTAATCAATGGACTACATTGATGTCACACGTGCTTACTTGCTGGCAACCATTTTGGTGATAGGTGCTGGCAAAGAGAGGAGAGAACATTCACCTGGTGGGATAAGGTATGCTGCCAGGTACCCTCCTATCTTGTTCGACTGTCAGGCTCTCATGACTTTTTAGAGGGGGTGACACCAATCATTTTGGTGTCACCCCTCCGATGGTGTCACCCGGTGCGGGCTGCGTTGTGACGCCAATGCCTCTAGCCCCATAACCCAAGATCAGTGCCTCAATACAGACTTGGGGCTGGATTCTGCAGGAGCCTGTGCATTGCACCCATGATCCACTAATTGCAGTGGCAATGCTTTGCAGGTGTCAGTGCAAACAATTAATAAATGCACATTTTTTTTTAATCAATGTATGCGCATTTATTATTTATTTGCAAAAGGTGGAATATGCCTTTTTAGAGAGAACACAAAACGATTGTTTTCTCCATATTGGTCACAAACCCTCTAACCTATCATCATGCATAGGTGGAAAACCTAGGTGAAACATACACATTGTCCACAATCCTGCCAGCCAGAGCCTTACAACACAGTTATACATTTTGAATGTTACACTGATATGATATTGGTTTCATCATAGATCCAAAGCCTGCAGGTAATGACTACCATTTAATACAACACCTCTTTTTTTGAAGCAGCCGATTCTTCTAATTCACTGTGTGTGTTTTTAACACAAAGTTATCACATTTTCACATTTATTTCTATTTTTTCAATATTATAACCTTATTAATCTGTAGATGTTTGAAGAAAAATGTCTCCTCCCTTCCTGTTTAGGCAAAGCACATACTCACTTTAATGAACAGTATAAGCAACATTAGGAGGTGTTTGAGCATCAAATAACCATAATTAAATTCTCCATTTCGTGTTTTATATGTTGCTGTTGGCAAGTCATGTTCCCTGGGTGTGGTCTGGGGCCCATCTCAGGTAACTCATATAAAGTGGCACTATTCTGTGCTTGCTGAGTTATCTTGAATCTCACTAAGTATTACTCAGCAGGTCCAATTGCTTTTGACTTGTTACTGCTAGATATGCCGGGAGTTCAATGACTGTTCCTTCATTTAGGTGTAATATATAAGCTGTCTGCTGCCCTCCAGCAATGGAAGAACTGTATGCTCTGCCAGCTGGCTTGCAGGATGTGCTGGGATTAGGTATTCTTTACCACCTGGCTACACTGACTGACTGTCAACCCTGAAAAAAAGAACTGGGGCTTCTATCTGTAGTAAGAAATTCATTTTTTAATGTTGGCCTTTTTTGTTACCAGACATATCCATCCAGAGGGCCTCCCTTCAGATTATACCATCTCCTTCCTTTTCCGACTACTCCCCGATACTCCGAAGGAACCTTTTGCACTGTGGGAAATCTTGAACAAAGGCTACGAGCCATTGGTTGGCGTAATACTTGACAGTATGTTTATATACTTTAACACATTTCTATAGTGCTTTAATAGGATGATCTTATTTCAAAGGACAACAGTGTGTCATGTTATATTAATTTGTAATTCAGTATTGCTTTTGTCTTTGGCTTCCAAAGTGAGAGTCTTCTTTCCTGGTTCACCTGCATTGAAGTATTCTTGTGAAATGATATGATTGCAGTAATACAATCTTTGCTTTCATTGCTCTCTGTAGTGATCTGTAGACTTCCCCAGTTTGGGCTATATAATGTAGACAAACCTTTATCCGATCATAGGGTCAGCTCTCTAAATCTTGCCATACACCAGTAGAAATGCTGTTCAAAAAAAAATGTTGTTTTCGGAACATTAATTGGATTGTCTAATAGTTAATGGTGTCAGATTGATGATCATTTTGACAAAAATGATCATTGAAAAAAAAATGACGGAGCAAGATGGATTTTTTTTTATTTCAAACAAACTAAATTCTCGCAGTGAATGTGGTAGTCATTCAAGAAACTAATAGGGTTATTTACAAAAGGGTGAAGGGTTTGGAGAAAATTCTCCAATTCAGCTCACTTTCCTGTTCAGCTACTGTATGTTGTCCTAGATTGTTCACTTCTCCTGCCTTCTCCAAACTCTTCACCCTTTTGTGAATAACCCTGTAAATGTTCAAAACAAATGCAATTTCCAAAGGCATTTTCATGGTCTCTGAGGGCATCATCAAACATTCTGGTGAACGTTCATACGAAAATCTAGATGGCCTTAATTGGTGTCTTCTGAGTTGCTTTTTGTGGGGTAGAAGCAAACAGATGCCAATGTACAAATAGATTACGCCAGGTAGACAAACTGCTTGGTGTATGGCCACCTTTAGAAACATTCTCAGGTATAGGTTATGAGTGTTCTAGTGTTCACATGACTAGACCAAAAGAAAGCTAATAAAAAACCTATCAGGTTCACTGGTTTTGCCTGTTATATAGGAGATGAAGTACTAGATTATTAATAGAGTTTGTAGCCAATCACAGCATTTGACTGATCATAAAGCAAACCCATCTAAACCTTTTGGAGGAGTTTAGTTATTATGTTGGTATTAGTGAAAGTTCACCCTAGAATGAATCAATGAACATTAAGCAACCATTTAACACAAGTACCTTGATAAATGCAAGGAACCATGCTTAACTTCTGCCCACACTCCGATTGTCTAGCAATCGGCATTGAAAACTGCTGGTCATTTACCAGCTACACAATGCAACTCACAGTATCGCTCAACTCCTCCTGCTATCTACATCTTATGATTGCAAAGCCTGGGAAATGCCCCTCTGTGCCTGGATATTGTCAAAGACATACCTAGCACAATGAGGCCTAAACGACACCATGAACTGTATGGTATGTCTGGTAGTAGCCATCAGTTTCCAATGCTAATTGCTGTACTACGAGAGGATAGTATTCAAACATGTGTTTTATGGCTGTTCAATATCCGTTGTTCTAGGGTGAAGTTCCAATTTTATTAAGCACTGCAAAGTGTTAAGCTGTTTAAAAGTTTGCTAACACTTTGTGAGTCCCGGTAGAGAAATGCTTCTGTTCTTTTGAGGTTATTACCATCAATGGGTTTCTCTTTGCAATATGAGAGGCTGTCTGGCCATAGTGCTATTGCCAATGAAAGATTTATCTGTCAGGTACACATAGTGAATGCACCTATGTGAAACTGCAATTCAGTAATGCTTGTTCTGTGATGAACATACTAGTTTCAGCCTCTAAAACCATGCTACTATAGCCATCCTGATTGACCCTATGGGTCTAATGCGCCAAGCTCTAGCACTTCTTCTTTCTGCCTTCAACAGATTTCTATTGACCATTAGGTCAGCCCATCATAGCAATGGGCCACTAGGAATGTGTGGGTAGTGGGAGGAAGGGACGAGCTGATGAAAATGGATCTTGGCTGTAAAAGATGGGTCTTATAAGTGCTGTAGGTATATGCAGGTGCATCCATTTTGAGGGGCTTACAGAATTTACAACTTGTCAGCAACATATATTTTTATATACTAAGCCTGACAATATCAATTACATTTTCTTAGCCATTTGTGTATGTTTTATACAAAGTTTTTATAATATTGTATCTCTACAAACATATATTTGTTTTTTTCTACGCAGATAATGGTAAAACACTAACTTTTTTTAATTACGACAATAAGGGACAGTTTCAGACTATTACCTTTGAAGGACCTGAGGTTAGAAGAATATTCCATGGCAGCTTTCATAAGGTAAGTTATGAAGAGTGTAATGTACATAGCACTGTATATAAATTACTTTCACGCTGTACAATATAACTGAGCGTGGTGGTAGAAGTAAACATTGGAAGAGCCGTGTTATGACTGTAGGTCGCACATTTTTGACCTGTACCCTTTTGTTCTCTCCTGACCTGCCCATTTAGAATAAGGGAGTGAGGTTAGCTGACCTTCTGGAATCATTAATTTATAATACATGTACTCAAGCTATGGCTGCATGGCATTCCTCAGGGCATGTTTCCTAATTGTGACAACTGTAGGACCATGCTTGTGTAATATGCAAAGGCATAGGCTCAACCACAACATCCAGTTTCACATGGTGACAAAACAGAAGAACCAATGGGAGCCAGGGAGAGAGCATTGTCACAGGAAGTGCTCGCATAATGAATGCTGCAAATGTAAAAATATTCGAAATGTATTATGAAAACCACTGATCATGGTTGCAATCGTTTGCAGGCTCCAATGTAAAAAAAAAATAAAAAATCACTTTTTCTTTCATTAATGTTTGTGCATGTATTATTCCTTTTTTTAATGGTGGATTATGCCTAAAACTCTGCTATTCTTTTCTCTATGCCAGGTACATATTATAGTTACAAAGACTAATTCCAAGCTAATCATCGACTGCAAACAAGTTGGGGAAAAGCCATTAAACGTTGCTGGAAATATCACCACGGATGGTCTAGAAGTCCTAGGCCGGATGGTGAGATCCCGAGGAGCCAGAGACAACTCCGCTCCAGTAAGTACAAACAGGGACCTACTTTGTTAATGCTTCCCAAAAAGTAGAGATACCCAGTAAATAGTTGGGAGTACAATCAGCCATTCATTGGCAAACCCACTCAGCACATTCCTGCGGTACAACTTATCCCGTTAGGCATTACATTTACATGTATTACATTTTTCTATTAACCTACCACAGAATGGAGATATAGCTTTAAAGAAAATACTCCTTACATATAGGAGCCAAATAAATATAATGAATTATCGGAGGCCCAAGAACAAAAAGAGCTTTCTACATAGTGCTTTATATGGAAATATCCTTACCCACTCACACGGGAAGGGGATATAGAGACAAAGTGTGTGGCGTCTGTCCAATAACGGCCAACGGAATCAACACAATGAAGAATTCCTATTAAAGGGGCCTATTGTTTATAGTGGGAAAGGAAGTCTTGTGTTTGGGTGACAGTCTTACAGGAATTATTGGTTTACTGAGCTGCCTACGTACTGAAAAATTCTCTTCAAGTCAAACTGGCTGAAGGATTGACATTGGGAGGTGTGTAATACATGTTTATTATTGCAATAAATCATGTAACTTTGGTTTTATACAGAGAGAGAATTGTTGCTAAGCATCACAAGGGTTAATAGATACTGGCTCTTGAGTTGTTTCTTTTTTGTTCAATGACAATTGGACTGCAGTTATCTAATAAATCCTTAACACTTTATGAACAGAGGTCACTGAAGCCTAGATGCCCTGGCCAAATTTAAAGCATATATCAAGGCAAAAATAAAAAAAGTAGCGGGTCTTCTCTTCAAGTCTATGTCTACTATCTTCTAGGAGAATCAGCATCCAAATGGGTTAATCAGATACCTGTGTTCTCCACCAAATGCTGTGGTCTCTCCCGTCAGTTCTTACATCCTATAGGAGCTGTTGGGTGAAACCACAGGTTTTATTTTCAAGTGACAGAGTCTCTTTAAAGGTAACCTACTGTGTATTCCTATGGATGAGCCACCCTCTGGACAGTTGGAGGCCACCATGAACAGCAGGTCTATAGGAATGAGCAGTAGGAAAGGACCTGGTCAGGACATTTTTTTTGCAAAAGCTATGCAGTGGCAGGCTGGTCCACACTGTGAAGATCATAAGAGCCGGGAGGAAGGTAAGTAT